GTGTAAGGTGGTATCTCAGTGTGGTTTTGATTTGGATTTCCCTGATGGCTAATGATGATGAACATTTTTTCATGTGTCTGTTAGCCATTTGTATGTCTTCTTCAGAGAAGTGTCTTTTCATATCTTCTGCCCACTTTTTGACTTGATTATTTGTTTTTTGGGTGTTGAGTTTGAGAAGTTCTTTATAGATCTTGGATACCAGCCCTTTATCTGTAGTGTCATTTGCAAATATCTTCTCCCATTCCGTGGGTTGCCTCTTTGTTTTGTTGACTATTTCCTTTGCTGTGCAGAAGCTTTTTATCTTGATGAAGTCCCAAAAGTTCATTTTTGCTTTTGTTTCACTAGCTTTTGGAGATGTATCTTGAAAGAAGTTGCTGTGGCCGATGTCAAAGAGGTTACTGCCTATGTTCTCCTCTAGGATTTTGATGGATTCCTGTCTCACATTGAGGTCTTTCATCCACTTTGAGTTTATCTTTGTGAGTGGTGTTAGAGAATGGTCGAGTTTCATTCTTCTGCATGTGGCTGTCCAATTTTCCCAGCACCATTTATTGAAGAGACTGTCTTTTTTCCATTGCATGTTTTTTCCTGCTTTGTCAAAGATTATTTGACCATAGAGTTGAGGGTCCATATCTGGCCTCTCTATTCTGTTCCATTGGTCTATGTGTCTGTTTTTGTGCCAGTACCATGCTGTCTTGGTGATCACAGCTTTGTAATATAGCTTGAAATCGGGCAACGTGATGCCCCCAGCTTTGTTTTTCTTTTTCAACATTGCCTTGGCGATTTGGGGTCTTTTCTGATTCCATACAAATTTTAGGATTGTTTGTTCCAGCACTTTGAAAAATGTCACTGGAATTTTGATCGGGATGGTACTGAAGGTATAGATTGCTCTGGGTAGCATAGACATTTTAACAATGTTTATTCTTCCGATCCATGAGCGTGGAATATTTTTCCATCTTTTTGTGTCTTCTTCAATTTCTTTCATGAGTGTTTTGTAGTTCCTAGAGTATAGATCCTTTACCTCTTTGGTTAGGTTTATTCCGAGGTATCTTACAGTTTTTGGTGCTATTGTAAATGGAATTGTTTCTTTAATTTCTCTTTCTACAGTTGCATTGTTAGTGTATAAGAAAGCAACTTAATTTCTGTGCATTGATTTTGTATCCTGCCACATTACTGAATTGCTGGATGAGTTCTAGTAATTTGGGGGTGGAGTCTTTTGGGTTTTCCACATAAAGTATCATGTCGTCTGCGAAAAGAGAGAGTTTGACTTCTTCTTTGCCAATTTGAATACCTTTTATTTCTTTTTGTTGTCTCATTGCTGTTGCTAGGACTTCTAGGGAGTCAGGACTCTTAACACCACCCAGTAGTAAGGAGGCTATTTATCCCCCTTTCCCTCCCACCAGTGGTGCCAGTGGAGGCCATATGAGGCACGGTAGTGAGGCATTCCTACCCCTTCCAGCCAGGGAAGTATCAATGGGACCTGCTGGAGAGCTGAACTCCTATCCCTGCTCAGTAGTTATGATGGGTCTTCCCTCCCCCTGCCAATGTCAGTGAAGGCCAAGTGGCAAATCTGGGCTTCCCTCTCCCCCGGCCATAATGGTAGGTTTACATAAGATCTAGAGCCTCATAACACGATACCTAAAACATCCAGGTTTTGATTGAACATTACTCATCATGCCAAGAACCAGGAAGAGCTCCAACTGAATGAGAAAGGACAATCAAGGCCAACACCAAGATGATGGAGACGTGAGAATTATCTGGCAAAGCTTTTAGAGCGGCCGTCATAAAATACTTCAGTGAGCAACTATGAACGTGCTTGAGACAAATGAGGAAAAAACAGAAAGTCTCAGAAAAAAAGAGCAGACATAAAGGAGAACCAAATGACAGCTTTTGAATTGAAAAATATAACAACTGAAATAAAATCTCATGGAGATGATGGAGGAAAAAATCAGTGAATTTGAAGCTGTAACAATAAAAATTACCAGATCTGAGCAACAGAGCGAAAACAGACTGGGGGAGGGGAAATAAAGGACAGATCCTTAGGAAGCTGTAGGACTATATAATGTCTCTGAAATCCTAAGACAGAAGAAAGAAGGTGGGACTGAAAAATACTTAGTGAACTAAAACTTCCTGGGGTTAGGCTAAGATACAAACCCACAGAATCAGGAGGCTTTAGTGAATCCCCAACAGGATAAACCCAAAGAAATCCGTACCGTGGTACATCATAATCAAACTTCTAAAAATAATTTTGCAAAAAAAGAATGTGGTAGGAGGAATCGGTCTGCCAGGTTTCAAGACCTCTATAGCTACACAAATTCAGACCGTGTGGTGTTAGCAATGGGTCGGGCACATAGGTCAGTGGCACAGAATAGAGAACCCAGAAACATGCCCATCTGATTGCTGACAAAGGTTCACAGGGAAATCAGGGACACAGTGTAATGATCTCAGTGATGAGCAGGATGATGGAGTGGGGAGGAAAGAGTCCTGAGATAATAATCAGAGAGGTCAGAGTCCTTCCCCCGCATGCACAGCTCATTTGTGGAAGCTGTTATTGTTGATATTTTTCTTGTCCTGGTTTGGGTCACAAGGAGCGTCAACAAAGCAGACACAAGAGACAGGAAGAGAACAGATTTGCACAGCCATTGAAGCTGGAGAAAAGGGGTATGGTAACAGTTTCATTCTGCTACACCTAATTGCCTTGTATTGTCCCCCTTGACCTCTGTGTGACCTTTGACTCCAATGACTTGCTTCTCTTGGTTTCCTTAAGTATATTTCCTAATTCATGACATGGCTGTCTGTTTCACATTATCATAATCTTTTAATCACAGCACCTGATTTCGGCTTTACCTAATACCAGCCCATCACAGAATTGTGTAAAGGAAGTAAGACTAATTTGCTAGGCTTCTGCTTCTTTCTGGGAGGATATATGGAGCCTCTTGGCATACACGGTACAGCAGTGATTGCTACAAATCATTGACTAGATTTCTATCACTTAAAAAAATAATAACATAATTCGAATGTCAATGCAGAAGCCCCAAGAGCCAAGCAAACAAAATGGCAAATCCTTTCCCCTGATGTTCGGAAGCACCAAGGGCAGAGCGTGAGGCTGGCTGATTTATGGCGGCCGAGGAGTACTGAGCCAGGACGTGTTCTGGCCGGGCAAATGCGTGCGGGCACTGAGGAAATCTCCGGGAGCCGAGGCCAAAGCCGCCCTGCAACGAGCAGGGCAGAGCACAACCTCACCCACGGCAGCACCCCCGGCTGGGACCCATGCTGCGGCCTGCGTGTTGTGCACTGGGTCAGCGTGAACACGAGCAACTTTCCTGGAAACGTGTCTATGATGTAGCGTGTTAGGAGGCCCGGGAGACAGCTATCCAGTGGCCTAGGTTCAGATCCTGCTGCTCACTTACTAGTTCTGGGACTGCGGACAAACTGCTTCACTGCTAACAGCCTCAGCTTCCTTTTCTGTAAAATGGGGAGATCGAGGGCACCTACCTCCTAGGTTGTCTTGAGAACATATATAAATGTGCCTAATTTTTTTTTTTAAAGATTTATTTATTTATTTGAGAGAGCGAGAATGAGAGAGAGAGAGTACTTGAGAGGGGGGAGGGTCAGAGGGAGAAGCAGGCTCCTCGCTGAGCAGGGAGCCCGATGCGGGACTCGATCCCGGGACTCTGGGATCATGAGCTGAGCTGAAGGCAGTCGCTTAACCAACTGAGCCACCCAGGCGCCCCAAACGTGCCTAATTTTATAGAAAACTTTTTTCCTGAAAGAAGACCACATGCACTGTGTTCCTCCCAGCCCTGAAGTCTCGCCTGGGCCCATTTTGTAGATGAACGTGGCACTTGCCCTCTACGAATCTGTTCTTTTACTGTTAGTGCTTCTGGTACACCCTTCTTCCCCGATACGTGTGTGCACGTGCACACACACACGCACATGTGCATACACGCACACGCACAGATGCACACACTGCTTGCTGGAGTGGCAAGAGGTCATTTGCAGGTGGCAGGACCTGAGTTTGTATCAGAAGGAAAGGAGGTGGAGCAGGAGGTTGGCTCAGCCTGAGCCAAAGCTGCCGTTAGTCCCATGGCCACCTGCCTTTGACTAAGCTGGTTTTTGAAATGAGCTGGCTCAGCATCCTGGGAGAGGGCCCGGGCCACAAATCTGTGGTTCCCATGCAGAGCTCAGTTGTGGGAGTCTGATCTTGTTTCCTTTGATAACTACAACCTAGGGATCACAAACTGCTTTTGGCAGAGGGTGCTGGGGAAAGATTGAGTCCTCAGACTGGGGAGGAGGGCTGGGGCTGTCTCTGGGTGTTTTTGATCCCTAGATAGGGTGGCCAGCAGCCCATCACAGCTGTTGATTTGCATGTTGGAGGCTTCTGGAGGGGGCCGGAGAATATCATCAATAGTGTAAATTTCAGAAAGCGTTAGCAATTATTGTGGAAGCAGAGTGGCTGTTCAGAGGCTGGGCTGGAGAACGGTACCTGGACAATGGAAACACTGGAGACACAGTATGATCGTTTTGGAGAGAAGGCCCTCCGAGGGAGACTAAATGTAAATTCTCTCTGTCATCAAGGAGCCCCTACTGTGCCCCAGGCGCTGTTCTAGGCTTCAGGAACATAAAAAACAAGCCTTTTAGAAGAGTCTTTACTCTTCTGTTGTCTTGTGTTATGGGGGTTCAAAGACAAACTTGAATCACAGTGATACACTGTGACAATTGCTAGATCGGCATTCTGCTGGAGACTTACAGGGAAGTAAAGACATTTAACAGGGTTTATCGAGTGCTGTAAATCAAATGACCAAGTAATATTTGGGGAAGAGAAAAGGTCTTTCTCCAGATGCATTTCTGCCTTTGATCCGTAGTATCGTGTCATTTGAAACTGAAAAAACAACTTTGTACAGAAGCAGGAACAAACGGCTCATTTATTTTAAGTATCTTGCCTTCCCGATTTTTCTGACCTTGAATATTCTCCTTAGTTACCTGGGAAACATTTTTTTTAGGACTGAAAACAAAGGTAAACCACATCAGTGTTAATGACCATGAAAATGATGCAATTCGTATTGAAATCCTTAACTCATCTGTGCTGATTACCAATTCCTCCAGGTAAGAAAGGAGAGGTAGGTGTTTTCTTAATTGAGTAACCAAGCCTGCTGTAATGTGTTTGCTTGAAAGTATCCGGGGAGTTTCAATGGCTCTTCATACATTTTCCCTAAATTGGATTCTATGGGTTTGCAGGTTGCTCTGGGTAAGCCAGCCAGTTTGCAGAATGGAGGCTCGTTGGGAAGAAATGAATCATGTGGCTGAGTTTGCCTATGACAGAGAAGAAAGGACAAGCCCTGCAAGGGGGTAGGACACAAGAGGGAGCACAGAAGATGGGGAGGGGAATGTTTTTCTGACTGGCTTCGCTCAGCTGGAAGAGGCTAGAAATGTGACCTGGCCGGGGACTCCTCGGGTCTTGGCCTGGAATACCTTGCTGCCTGGGGCCGGATTTCCTGCAAGGGCTTTGGGGTGTGATGACAGCCACCGGAGGGCTTGGGAAGGTCGGCCCCTCTGGAGGCAGCACGGGTCTGTGGTGGGTCAGCACCTTCCTTCTGGTTCTAGGGCAGTCTGCAGCCACTGATAAGTATCAGCAAGAGCAGAGAGAAATCAGATGTGGGCCCTGTTTTCTTTTTTCTTTTTTTTTTTTTTTAAGATTTATTTATTTGAGAGAGCGAGAATGAGAGAGAGAGAGTACATGAGAGGGGGGGAGGGTTAGAGGGAGAAGCAGGCTCCCTGCAGAGCAGGGAGCCCAATGCGGGACTCGATCCCTGGACTCCAGGATCATGACCTGAGCCGAAGGCAGTCGCTTAACCAACTGAGCCACCCAGGCGCCCCGGGCCCTGTTTTCTAAGAAGTCATCTTCTTAGACGTGACTTAGACGTGAAAGTCACACGTCTCTGCTCTGATCATTTAAGCCAGCCCGGTCTGGATGAGGGTAGAAGACAGTGTCAAATGATGATCTAGTGCATAAAATCTGGGCTCGGGCTGCCTGGATTTAAATCCTAACTCCCTTACCTACTCACTGGGTGGCTTGGAAAAGTGACTTAACTTCTCTGTACCTCCATTTCCCAATGGTACTCCCTTCATGAGACTGTTGTGAGGATGAAATGAGATAATATATGTCAAGCATGGAGAATGCCATTTGGCACATGGTAGCCAGTCAGTAGATGTTTGCTAATATCCTCAGCCTCATGATTATTATTATCTGAAATAATAGATTATTAAGTCACTCATCTTGGCTCACTTTGCTCTAGACGGTATTCATGGCACAGTAAACAATCATGTCCTGAAGTGTTTCATCTGCCAGCAAATCTGTGAGGCACACCCAATCCCTTAGGAGAGCATCCATCCATCCATCCATCCATCCATCCATCCATCTATCCATCCATCCATTCATTTATTTACTAAATGTCTAGCTAAGCATGAATCTCTGCTAGGTGGGAGGCAGTGAGTCTAATAGCATGAAAAGAGGACCAGCTCTGGTGTCGGTGATCTGTGCTCAAGTCCCAGGCCTACCCTCCACCCACCGTGTGGCCTCAGGTTTGTTGTGAGGATTAAATCATATGATTCATGTCCCATATCTGGTGCTTAGTAAAAGCTAGTTCCTGACTCTTCTTCCCCTTGACTGATAATGGAAGACAGTCATGGGTTGAACACTGATGTTGGGAGCCTACATCCTGGTACTTTTGTCCACAGACAACTGGAATGTCAGGTAGGGGGCACTGCAAACAGCCGGCCACGGCTCTGTGGGAAGAAAATTGGCAGAAATGGTGGCAGAGCAAGAAAAGGTGTTGGTGATGTTGGTAAAGACAGGGTAGGGCGGAACGTAGGCCCGGTGTGGAGGCTCTCGTTCTGTCAGGACCTTCAGGGGGTGGCTTTCATAAAGGAAAGGGCAGGTTCTGAGACTTGCCCCCACCACATGGTACTGGGTGCTGATTTGGGGTCTGGAACTGCCTCCTAAAATCTCTGGTCCTCATTCTTGTGGCGGTGTATCTCTTCCACCGCCCCAGGGAGTGTGGCTTTTGTCTGCGTGGTTGGTTGCTTTACATTATGGGAGTTCCAGGGGGAGAAGGCTGAGTGTGGGGGGAAGGCGGGGAGGTGGAACTGGACCCTGGAGTTGGGGTGTGGCCTCAGGGTGGGCCTCTCGGAACCCATACACAAGAGGCTGAGCAGATCCTTCACTTCCAGGGTACGCGGAAATCGGGTGGGTTTTTCCAGGAGTTCTGGTCAGGCCATGAGGAGAAGGGGCAGGAAAGATCCTCAGAGGTGGGCCTGTGGGGAAGGGGCAGCAGGATAGTGCCATTGTCCAGGGCACAGTGGCCTCTTCTGGGGTTGGGAGGTGTTTTCTGCCCTGGGTTGGACCTGTCATGACTCCTCTTTCTGTCTCCACCATACTGAGCCTTGCAACCCCCTGCCTCTTCCACCTGGTGTGTGGGGACTGTGCCGTGAGCCTGACCTGAACCAGGTGACTGTTCAGCCTTCCTGCAGATTTTTGTGGAAAGGAGACAGGGTCGGGCCTCCATCCCCCAGGGAGCATATGTTCTAACAGAAACTAGATTGTTGGATTTTTTGATCACTGTCAAGAAAAGTTATAAATCAACAGAAGCAAACCTCAAAGAGCAGAATGGGCTGCACAGATAGCATGTTTACTCAACTTGCTAGCTTGGCACAGTATTGCCAGATGAATTTTCAGGAAACCTCACTTTCTTCAAACCTCCCTGGTCCAGAACCTACAACGGCTCTTTCTTGGCCTCTCATCAGAATTCTCCTGGTGCGGCTTTTCGGGGCATTGGATAATGTGGCTTTGCCTCATCTTCATGATTTTATTCCCCCTGGTCAGGCAGAACCCTGCCAGGCCTTCTGGTCTTCCTGAGCAAGGGCATTTAAACAATTCCGTGAGCTGTAGCGAGACATGGTTACCCTCCCTGTGTGCAATGGACACCAGTGCATTTCTCTGCTCTTTCGTTCTTTTCTCTTTCATCTTAAAAAGTGCAGGTTATGGGGCACCTGGGTAGCTCATTTGGTTAAGCCTCAGACTCTTGATTTTGGCTTGGGTTGTGATCTCAGGGTTGTGAGATTGAGCCTTGGGTTGGGCTCCCCCCTTGGTGGGGAGTCTGCTTGAGATTCTCTCTCTCCCTCTGCCCCTCATGCCCCTAAAATAAATAAATAAATCGTTAAAAAAAAAAGTGCAAGTTATGACGCACAAAATTGATTCCATGACAGACTAAGGGGTTGTGACCCACTTTGAAAAGCAGAACGGATTTAGCACAATAGTAATCATAGATGCACAAGTGAACAGCAGGAAATAGCAGAGCTGCTCCCAGCTCTTCCGGACAAGCTCGTCAACCATATCGTGAGATAAAAGTAGTGAATCAAGTCTGATTAAGAAGTTGGTCAAACGATGGACTCTGAAAAACAAACTGAGGGTTCTAGAGGGGAGGGGGGTGGGAGGATGGGTTAGCCTGGTGGTGGGTATTGAGGAGGGCACGTTCTGCATGGAGCACTGGGTGTTATGCACAAACAATGAATCATGGAACACTACATCTAAAACTAATGATGTAATGTATGGGGATTAACATAAGAATAAAAAAATTTATAAAAAAAAAAAGAAGTTGGTCAAAAAACATTCTAGGCTAGTGGCTTCCAAAAAGTTGTTTTGATTGCACCCTCCATCAGTAAAAAATGTTTACACATATAAGTCCCGTGTACTGTTTGGTTATCCTTTTTAACCAATGTATGATGTGACCACATAAAACATACACACCAAATACACATCTTCAAAGGATGAGATTGGGACGCCTGGGTGGCTCAGCCCATTAAGTTTCTGACTCTCGATTTCGGCTCAGGTCGTGATCTCAGGATTGTGAGATGGGGCCCCACATTTGGCTTCATGCTGGGTGTGGAGTCTGCTTGGGATTCTTTCTCTCCCTCGCCCCCCCCACCCCACTCACACATGCTCTCTCTCTCTCAAAATAAAAGGATAAGATAAAGATGAAAGAAACCCTATTTTAAGATGACATGCTGATCATGATGGCTTCATTCTATTATCAGCAAATATCTGAAGGCAAAATACACAGAGAGGACGGGGTCCATGGTTCTTCACAGTGGCTATAAGTCTATTTTCAAATTGTGTCGATAATGTAAACTGTTTTTCTGGTTGACTTCTTGTCAGATTTGGAAACCATTGCTTTGCAGCGCACCTCCTTTCTTCAGCATTGCCCTTCCTTCCCTGACAAAGCCAGAAAAGCTCAGCTGGTACCTTGTTTTGCTACTTCCATCCACCGGAAATCTGGGGGGAGTCATCACTAGCACTTCTCTTTCCCTCATGCCCTTGGCCATTCATTTACCCCATCCTGGGGATTTATAGCTCTCGATAGGGGGTCAGGTCCTCCCACATTCGCCTTCCATTGCCATGTTGTGCCACACTGCTTCCTTCTTCCTCCCATGCCTGCGCACACGGGGCTCCCTCCTTCTGCGATGTCCCCCTCCGCACCGGCTGACACCTGCTTACCCATCAAGCCCCGGTATAACGGTCACTTACTCAGAGGGACCCTTCCCTGACCACTGCCCGGTATACTTTCTGAGGCACCTTACACTTCTTTCCTGGTGCTTATCACAATTGTCATTTTACTTCTGTTTCAGTTTGTTTAAAGTGTATAGTCCTCCAGCATCTAGACTCGAAGTTCCCTGGGGAAAGAGACCATGGCTGTGGTGTCGTGTGTGTGTGTGTGTGTTTGTCTAGCACCCAGTTCATGCAATCTTAACAAATATTTAATACTCAGAACAACCCTATGGGTAGTTCCAAACAGGATCCACACTTTACAGATGAGGAAATTGAGAGACAAGAGTGATAATGCCAAAGGTCAGCTGGTCATGAATGAGCATGTTGGTCTCACACCTAGGTCGTGCGGGTTACACTTTTACCAGATGCTCGGGACTGTTCCTTCATAACCTGCATATACTAAAGGCTGATTTTACGTCCCATCTTCCTTGCTGATGTCTGACCAGCCCTCTATAGTGATTCTTCTTCTTTTGAACTAGCTTGATTTGTGCGTGGGGTCTCTGTATAATACTATTTACGCTGTGCTGTTCTAGATAACACTGTCCTTTTCTCAGACAATTCCATGTCCCTAAATCTTATCCACCAAAGCTAGATTATAAAGCCAGACCCAGCACTGACTCATCCTTTTCTTGAATCTCATAGTAAGTAAATAATTATTGATTAGTTGATTATTACTAGGAGCTCGGCAAAGATTTTGTCCTCCTCCCAAGTCAAATCCTATCTTCGCATATACCCACTGTCCCGCCAAGAGCAAGACAATGCCTTGGATTCAGAGGAGTTTTAACTGTTCCAATTTACACTTGTTGGCCTTCTTCCTGGTGGATCTCAGTGTAACTTCTGGCTGAGACCCAAGACTTTGAGGGTCTTCAATACCATGAGTAATTTCATGAGTTGCTGATGGCTAATTAGAGGTGATTACGGTTAAGAGGCTTTACTTTCTTAATAGCCCCAGAAAGGGCTGGTGGTGACTTTTAAAATCTTGATTATTTTTTCCTAGAAATAGAATGTTCTGATTCTCATTACTGTCTTTCCTTAAGTCCTTATAATTTATCTCCCTCTCCCCTCCACCCCCCACTCTCTTTCTAGTAGGAAGGAAATTTGAAGTCCTGGGAAGAATGTGGAAACCAGTGATTTTGGAAAACTGGCTTTATTGGAGAGGACCCTGGGGCACGCCTTGAAACCTTGCTTCATTTAGATGCCTTTCCCTGAAAGGAGGTGTAGGAGGAGGGGAGGCCAGGCCATAGGTTTTCTGCCCAAGTTCTATTAGATTCCAACCAAGCCTCTCCTCCCATCCCAGGCTTTCTGATGCTGTTTATAATTTACCTTTGAAACTGTTGGCTCATTTGACAGTGTTCAGACATTCTGTTCAGTAAAGGCTTCTGAGTAAAGGGGTATTTGCCAGTGAGGGGTTCTGCCGTCCTGTTTTTACTGTGATCACACATTTGAAGCGTCGCTTGACCTCTACTCACATCGGTATCAGCAGAGCGACTTGGGGACGGATGTCGCTTGGTGCCAGGCACTGGGCTGAGCACAGCACATGGGCGTCTGCCCACTGATTCCCCACCACTGTGGCAGTTCTTCAGGCTGCGTTTTTAAGCAGTGTCATTGAGACGTAATTTACATAGCATACCCTTCACCGATTTAACACCTACGATTGAATGGTTGTTAATACATTCACAGGATTGTGTGGCCGTCACAACAGTGTAATTGGAGAACATTTTTGTCACCCCCGGAGGAAACCTCGTACCTCCCGTTAGCCCCTCCCCACCTTCCTGACCCCGGCAACCACTAAGGTATTTTTTGTCTCTATAGATTTGCTTATTCCGAACATTTCCTATAAATGGAATCATGCAATATGTAGCCTCTTGTGGCTGGCTTCTTTCACTTAGGGTAATGTCTTCAAGGTTCGTCACACTGTAGCATGTATCAGTCTGTTTCTTTTTATTGTTAGGCAGTATTTTTAGCTCTAGGGTACAGTTGGGGAAACGAAGACACACAGAGGTGAAATGACTTTCCTATGGTCATGTAGCCTTTAATAGAGGGAGCTAGATTTCCAACGCCATCTTTAGCCCAATGCCAACTCTATTAGCCGGACTCTGAGATAGTCGTACTAATAGTAATTTATTGAACATCTTTTATGGATCAATCCCTGTGCTGAATGTCCCATAAATTTGTTACCTCATGTGCATACATAATCGGATTTCGATTGGGAAATCTTGTAACCACAACTGGGCAGTGGCATTTTTGTTTTAATGTCTTCCATTTGCTCGCTTCTGGTTCCATTGGCCCACTTAGGCTCTAGGGTCTTCCTAAGCAAATGATGCTGAAAATAGTATTGTTGTTCCTTCTACAGGAGCTGGACACCACTCCCATCTGCGGAAAATTGGTAACATCTTAGAGGAGCCCTTGCTTCTTCCCGGACGCCCAGCATCATGGTTTCTCATTTCATGGGGTCTCTCAGGTAAGTGGAGCACCTTTTAAAAATGAAAACAGGAAAATAGGAAATTCGATATTTTCGTTTTACTGTATGGTCTTTATGGTAACTAGCCTCCTGGGTCTGCATGTCAGTGATCTCTTTGATATAGTCTGTACATAGGTGTGGTGAGTTTGCTCTTCACAGGGACCGCTGAGGCCTAGGGAGCTGTGTGCTGTGGGAAGAGGGGCTTGGGCCGAGGTCCAAGAGCCTTGGCTGCTACCCTGTGCTCTGCTATTTCCCAGGAGACCTCCAGGATTCAGATTTTTATTTTTGAGTAAAGATGTTCCTGGATCTGTGGATATTTATCCTGGCTGCACACTAGAATTACCTGGAGAACTTCAGATCGTTTGTGTCCTCTGGCCGCATCAGTACCAATTTTGACTTAATTGACCTAGTGTGCTTAAAAAGTGACCTCTCTGGTTCCTTCTGCTCAGAACATCTTGACCTTCACCTGCATTTTTTTATTTGATCCTGATATCAACCAGGCGGGGTAAATAGAACAAGTAGTATTATCTGTTTCGTGCATAAGAAGACCATGCGGCCAACTCCTGGATGCACATTGCTTGAGTGTGGGGTCGGGAAGAGAGCTTGGTGCTCTGGAACTGTCGTCCGTGCACCGAGGCTGTTTTCAAACTTTTTTTTTCAATTTAAAAAAATTTTTTATTTTGTTAAATTTTATTTTATTTTTATTTATTTGAGAGAGCGCACAAGAGAGCACGAGCTGGGGGAGGGGTAGAGGGAGAAGCAGACTCCCCACTGAGCAGGGAGCCTGATGTGGGACTCGATCCCAGGACCCCAGGATCATGACCTGAGCCGAAGGCAGGCACTTAATGACTGAGCCACCCAGTTGCCCCCAAACTTTTCTCTATGCTGATGGACCCTTTTAAAAATTCATCATTCCAAATGCTATGTAAAAACTCAATATACAAAATGGTCAATGGCAGTATTTTATCAAGATAAATTTATTTCCTAAGTTTGAATCTGTAACATTTACACATTATGAGCTCAATGGGTCTGTTTTGATAAACACCAACATTTAAAATCAGGATTTATGGATGATAGCTCATATATCAGCCTCAGCATCTGGATTGTTCTGTGCTTGTCTTGGCTGCATAGTATTAAAAGAATCTTGATCCCTACAGGTAAGCAGTTGCAGTTCCTTTAGGAAGTTCGTCTTGCCATCTCAAGAGACTCTCTAAATAGACTCAGAATCTAGAAAGCAGGGAAGGAAGAAGGTTTTGTTTAAAAGTTGAGTCACTAAGGATATCTTGTACTTTTTTTTTCTTATACTATACATTAGCCCTAAATGCTTAGAACTTACAATAAAAAATAAAATGGTCTATAATATGTTATTATGGTGGTGCCACATATGATTGCCCAACTGGGCAGATGCTCTTAGGCCAACGCCTGGCATTTAATTGAGTGTAGTGTGTGTGTGTGAGCTTTAATCTTTAGTTGCTTGTATAATTTTACATGAACAGACATGTGCAGGTCTGAAATCCAAAGACCCATGCAGAGCTACAACCTTCTTCATTAATGTCATTCACAAGCGTGTCACAAAGAGTCAGAGAAGTCAGGAAAAGCTCCATCCTGAGGCTTCTGCAAAATCCAGCCATTCACAGGGCAGCCCAGATCTGTTCAGGGTTAGAATTTGGTAACTAATCTAAATCAGTATGTTTGTATTTTTAAACCATAGTTTGAAAAGTAGTTTAAGAGGTATTTCAAGACACGGGCTATGTATCCTCTTTGTAGAAGCTCCGATATTCCTCTATCTAACCACAGGGGAGTGAGTGATGCAGTTGGGCCACTGGGTCAGTTCAGAACATATTTGAGCACCAGGACCCAATGGGGGACAGAGAAGTGGTCACAGTCATATACTGAACTGGATTGAAAAGAGCAGTGGGTGACCAAAGGTGGGTTCACCATGTGGAAAGCAAGTGTGAGTCTGGCCACCATCAGAAAGGCCCCTGCAAGTACTGAGGATCCTCAAAAATGTGGCAGCCGAGGCCGCACAAAGAAGGCCATGACTTGGGAGAACTCCATTTCACAGTTTTCTTCTTGATGGAATTTCAGTTGATGCCTCTGCAAAAGCAATGAACCTCTCGTAATGACCTGATTGATGGTTGGAAGCCATCTCTCTTCGAGGGCTACCCTCCAGGCTGTGCAATCTCTTGGAGAAATTGCCCACAGGTTAGAAATGAGCAGGGTGGGAGTAGTTGAAAGCTAGATGTGGCCTTGCTACCCTTGGGATGGAACTCTGGAAGTCTTGCCAGGCCTCCAGTGTTTGGATCCTTCTGAAGGGGTTGTTTGAACAGGGCTACTCAGCAGGACATTTCTTCAAGAGTTCTGCTCTAAGGAGAGAGCAAATGTGAGTTCTGAGGATGGGTAATTCTTTGCAAGGGCTAAGCTGGAGCTTTCCATGAGGTCTCCTTCTTCATAAGCCAGGTACTCATAAACCATTTTGCATTCTGTTTCTAAGGCCTTGTAAATCTAGTTTAATCTGAAAAAACCAACCAAACAAACCAAAAAACAAAACTAGAGTGACTTTTGTATAAATGCTTTAGAAAATGTTCTTGCGGAAAGGGCTATGTTTAATTTAAGAGCAAGATGTCTTTGATAACATTGGTAGATGATACATACATGCACACACACAAATATTAAGGGCTTGTTAATATTTATCAAGGCAACCAAATGCATAAAGATCAATTGGAAAAGCTGGAGGATTTCTCTACCTAAAGAGAAAACAGTCAAAATTAGAAGTTAGCTGCCAAGAAAATCCCTGAGAGGAAAAACCATTTAAGGGGATTCACAATTCTGATAGGCAGAGATTTTGTTTTAAAAATCCCTCCCCGGTTTTTGCCAAGCCACAAAGAAACAGAAAGCCAGCTTCTCCCTCATTGAAAAAGACAGAGAAGCCCTGAGTAGTAACATAGTAAGAGTATCTCTGCCCTGCTCAGAGTCTGCTGTCATAAAAGGAATCACTGTTAAACCCAGGGGCAGGAAAAAAAGACACTAAAACTTTTAACTCTTGATGGAGTTCGTTAGTGAGTTGTCACTGAACATGGGACAAGCCTGGATGCCATGCCAAATTCAGGGCAAGGAAAATCCATTTGGGCCAAAGGGTTGGTCAAGGCTACATTAGGGAGTCTTTGTCACCTGTTACAGCTTAATGAGGAAAAGATACTAAGTGAAACAGAAGTACATACATTTCTTAAAGTCTTGCTCCAAATGGTGCACATTAAAAAAAAAAAAAAAAATATATATATATGTATATCTGCACAGTTACAACTTGATGTGTTCGTTTAGTGATTGAGTGGAAGCAAACACAATTTTCTGTAGAATCAGTACAGCAAGTGGTGAGGACCACCTACCATAATGGCCAGCCAACAAAAATCTCTCTCGAGCCGGTCTGCTTGGTCAGGGGCTCATTTTGTACCTTGCAGTATGCTTTAGGATAGTCGACAGCGCTGATGTTTGGAATGAAAACACAGAGGAAAACAAAACGGTTGAAAATGCCAGACAAGTGGTTAAGTTGGCAGGAAACAACGTTGACTCGGTGAACCTTATTTTGAACGGCAGGTTTTGAAGAAATGCAGATGTAATTAGAGAGATTACAGAGGTAGATGGTGATTTTTATAGATCTTATGAAGTAAGGTTCTGGATTGTTTTAAGGGGTTTACAGGTTGATGGCCTTAGGTCAAGTGTCTGGTTTTAGTCTTCTGAAACGTAAAGCTTTTCTTTGCCATGATATACACTTCAGTAAAGTAATATTACTGTAATGCCTGTCAGCTACTTCACTTAGAAATACAATCAGAAGGAACTGGAAATGAGAAAGAGAAAGATGGCCGTTTTGGGGGCAACTGAAAAAGATTCTGAATACAGAAAGAAAAGAAGAAGTGGGTTGAGAAGATGTGTTTGTATGAGAATGCCCAAAATAGTGATGTTTGAGGTATGATGGATCAGTGAAAACGGAGACTCCCCTCAGGGATCGAGAACTATGTGGTCATTGGGAAGGATTGTGGGCTCAATCCATGTCCCTATGCCAGTGACCCAGAAATGGGGCAGGAGAGGGGAAAATAGGGGAAGGAAGAAGACAAGAAAGAGGAGGAAGAGGAGGAGGAAGTGGAAGGGAGAGGGAGGGGGAGAGTGGGAAAGGGGGAGGGGAGAGAGGAGGGGGAGGAGGATCAGAGGGAGAGGATGTGGGAGGGGGCGGAGGTGGAGGGGAAGGAAGGTGGGAGGAGGGAGGGGGAGGAAAAAGAGGAGAAGGGCCCAGGTTTGATTATTAGTATTGAACTGTATGGTGTTAATAAGGCTGGAGAGACTTTGGGTAGCCCTCATCTAAACCGCTACCCAGTTGATGCTTAGTAAATATTTGCTGAATATTGAATGAATACGTTAATAATTACCTTTTGTGTAAAAGAAAGTAGGACATTTTTCTTTCCTGATGAGGATTATTAATTACAAAAGCAGGTTAAAGCAGAAAATCATACAAATGATATACACACACCTTCAACAGTTTATTTTTAACTTAAAGCACATGTACATTCACTCACTATTTTTTGATGTGGGGCCAAGGACTTTTCTTTGAGCATGAGCCCTTGATTGTCCTTGCACAGACCACACCCATAAGCATTATCTAAGGTTTCCATTTGGGTTTCTTTAACGTGGAGTGAGAATTTAAAGACGTTCGCAAAGCAATCCGAGTTCAGATGATTCTCAATTTTTATTATTTTTGCCCCTAATCATTTACAGTTGTCTCATCCACACCTAATTTGCCAGCAGTTTTTTTTTTTTTTTCTTGGCTACTTGCCTTATTGAGTCTTTCCAAAGCATTCAGCTTCATTTTTATAGAAACAGCTAACAACTACTCTTTTCTTTTTGTGCTCTGTTTCGTGGGCTTGTGTACCATTTGAATATTTGTAGGTATTTACAAAGCCACCGGAATAAGCAGGTTTGGGAACATGGTTGACTCTGTAGGAGCACGA